CTGTGGCTCTCGTCCGCAATAAAAACACCCAATAATAGCAACAACAACATTAAAAATTCCCCATCTGCCTGGAACTTCTCTCCCTCTCTTTTGCTTGGGGGTCCCACGGCTGGGGCACCACGCAGACAGCACCCAGGCTACTGATGCCAGCCAGTGCCGCCAAAGTGCCAGCCCTAGAGGGGAGCCCGAGAAAGGGGTCCGTGATGTCCCGGCTGCTCCCCACCTCCGGCGCCTCCCTCCCTCCCTCGCTGCGCTCCGCAGAACGCAGTTGGAGGGAATCCGGCGCAACGGAGGAAGGCGTGTATGGGTTTCCTCTCCCTCCCAACCCTGCCCCACACCCCCGCGTAGCCGCCCCAGCGCAAGGCCGGTGGCGGGGCTTAGAGAAAGGCGCGGGGGCCAGGGGAGACCACTTTTCGCCGCATCGCCAAGACAACCAGCGGCACCAGCGCCACCGCAGGCCTCCACCCGCAGCCTGGAAGCCTCCGCGCCGCGTCCCGCCCTCCTCCGCCGCCCCTCCTCCCAGCCTCGCCAACCCCCTCAACTTCGCGGGCGGCGCGCAGGTGGGGGCGCTTCTTAAGGCCGCACCGGTTGCGCGTTCCGAGGCTTTCCCCGGGTGTGCTCTGCCCGGGAGCGAGCAGCGGACGCTTTCCTCCGGCGCTTCCCCGCCGCTCGGCTCTCCAGGCGCAGCGCTCTTCTCCAGAGCCCCGAACTTTCTCGTCACTTCGCCCCTACCCCGGGAGAGGGGAGGCCGAGGTGCCGTGGGCCGAGGGGCTTGCACAAGCCCCAAAGTCTGGTGGTGCACCTCTTCTGCTCTCCCCCCTGAGCCCGCCGGGAGCTGGGCGCGAGAGGCGCACGCACGCCGGCTCGCTGGCGACCCGGTACCTCTGCCCGCGCGCCCAGCTCCAGCACCGGATCCCTGCTTCCGCGGGGCCCCTCCTGCACCCAGTCTCAGAATTCAAAGCCAGTTCTGTCAACACCGTCCACCTCGCACCCCAACCCCTCTCCTCCAAGTCCTGCACACGCGCCGCACCCCACCCACAACCCCCGAGCTGCGTGAGTCCCGGCCCGAGAAGGGAACACGCGCTTACCTCCGGCCACTCCGTTCATCTGGTCAAAAGGGCCTCCCAGTTCGGCATTGGGGAAGATAGTCACCGACGTGGCGGCGAGGTCCTCCACCGGGTAGATGTTGTCAGACAGCTGGTGCACAAAACCACTGAGAGTTACTGGGATTTTGTCTAAGGCCTTGGCGGTCATCATTTGCTCCTCGCGCAACCTGGAGACCCAACTCCCTCGCTACCTGGAGTGTCAGAGAAGCCGTTTTGGAGTGGGATTGCGCTGCGCCTAGGCTGGTATCTCCTTTTGCCCTCCACACTTAAAAGCAACCACCAAAAAAAAAAAAAAGAAGAAAAAATCCAACAGAAACAAAACTAGCAAACAAGTTGCTGTATTTTTAAGAAAGAAGAAAAATGGCTCTTTGCCACTGGCTCTCTCCTGCGTTCCTGCTGGGAAGCCAGGAGTTGCTGGTGTAGTGTTGTTGTAACAGTGTGTCCCCTCGCCGAGCTATTAATCAATTGCTGCTCTCTCGGTTAGACGGAAAGTGTTGCTCTAAGTATTTATGAGCAGGTCCTCAATGCCCGTGACGTCGCTGCCCATATATGGACTGTGGAACAGGGCTGGGCTAAGCGGCTTTTGCCGTCACATGGCTGATTTGCATACGAGCTCTGCCGCACGGGCTCCGCCGGGCTCGCGGTCGCGTCTCGCTGGCCCCGGGGATCCGCGGGGGT